CGAAACGAAGTCATTTAGAATGTTTTTAGAGCATAAACAGTAGTGTATAGCATTTCGTGAAAGCGCGCACATGCGCGTTCACGACGCTACGGATTCCATTATTTGAATGTCATTTGAATGTCAGCAGACAGCAAGAAGCCTCCCAGATCTCCAGATGCATTTGAGATATCAAAAAAGTACTCCACAGTGTTGTTCAGCATGGGGGTGAGTAGAAAATGAAGGCTAATCATGTTTTGGGTGTACTATTCCTTTAAGAAAATCATGACAGTCCCAACGATACATGGAACCAATAAAAGATTGTTGGGCTATAGTTAAGCTTTTTGCGATTCACTCATATGTAGAGAAGGAAAATTTGACATATATAGGAGCTTGTTATAAAACGGAGGAAGTATTTCATTACACAGAAATAAAAGCACTAAAAGAAGCTACTTTGCCAAAAACGTAATTGGTATAAAAATTGTCATATGGCATATGGCAGCAGAAAATATATCTATTATTATGTAATACCTGCTCTAACCTCTTCTGTGCTTTTTTTTCTTTATTTATTCTTTGTGTGCTTTTTTGTCAGATAACTAAACACAAAAATTATATTTCCCACTAGAGATGCAGCCTAGAGCAGAAAAATAACATATAATAGTAACTTACAAATGCCCAGGGGAGAATAGAGCATTAGGTCTTCACTCAGTTTATGGCTCTAAATTACTCCTTGGCAGCAAAGGAAATGCTCTTAGGGGTCCAATGGCACACTGTACCAAACAAGAGCTTTCTGAATGCTCACAGAAAAACTTGACCCAGTTTTTAAAGGGCACATGTCAAATTGTACTAAAGTAAGGACTGAAGGAGAACGAGCAAACATTTCGTCACATAAGATCTATGCAGCAGTATTAAAACCTTAAAACATTTCATAGAGGTCCGGCTGTATTGTGGTCTATAAAAAAGCATACAGAAAACTGTTTATTAAGTATAATAATAGGAAAAGATCAAATTCCCACTTAAAGTTAACTCCCCATCATTTTAAGTATGATTTACAGACCAAAATGCTGCGTACTTTTTAAAGCTATAAGGTTTTCATCTTTGTAAAACATTAATCCAGTGAGGGGTTCCTATATTTCCTCCTGACTTACGTTTCCCTCGTAAGACACCTGAAGGGTTGACAAAAAAAAAAAAAATCTATATTATTTTAAAAAATATATATTATTGTGGATTATTTTGTAAAAAAAATAAATAAATTAATTTGATAAATTTGAGCTCAATAATATAATGTGTCTCAAGTATACAAATGGTGCCATGTCTATATCGAGGGTTTGGAGCCAGAGGGGCGTAAGTGGCATTTGACCAACTTTACAGGAGAGCGAAAACAAAATTATGACCAAACTTTAATCAACTGTATTTATTAACCTTCAACGTCAACATTGCACCCACATACATACTTGTATTAAGTAGTAGTTCAGTAAACAGATTATGATATATTAAAGCAATTAACATATTGTAAAACATTACAAAATCATAAAAAATAGGTAAAAAAAACAGCAGATACGCCCTTTTGACACCAAGCATATACAGAATTTGTAAAGAAAATAAGGCGTATCTGCTGATTTACATACAAAATATTGGATTCAAACACTTGACATTCATAAGAAAAACAGTCTTATTTTATTATTTTTGCTATTATTATCATTTAATATTTCATTTATTTAGCCTGGGCGTGGCCAAAATGAGATAGACCTATTTCAATTCTGAGTCATGACAGAAAAAATATGTATTTCATTTAAAACAGTTATTCAGTTAACCAGTTAGTTCACCTTAAAACATTTAAACATGTAAAACTTCGACATTTAATTTTTGACATTTAACATTTAAGTTCTTTAACTCTAACATTTAATTTAATGCGTCATGTTTACACATTCCACTTGTCAACTACACATCTGTACTATCAGTGCCTACTACTTTCAGGGAGTTGTAAAACTCTGCATAGTAATTAGGAATACTCCCATTGGTGCAAAGGGTGAGGAGATCCTTTTTTTTTCAAGGCATTTATGCCTGGGGGGCTTTCATACAGTGAGCTTGGTGATTGTATGGTGCTTGTGGCTCTGGTTGGTAGGCGTACCATCATCTTTTTGAAAGTTGGGGCAGTGACATCATACTTGAAGTAGATTGTCTTCGGGTGTTCTTTCGTGTAGCGGAACCACTTTATCTTCTGCCAATGGACAGCTTGTCCCTCCTCATCTTTTGATCTGTTCTTCACCGTTAGGTTGGAGAGGGATTTGAAATCAAGGAAATCCTTATGCAGAAGCTCATTCACACGGTATGGGTTTCCCTGCCTTGCCATCCTCACCAGTGTGTAATACCCATCAGGGGAGTAGATGCACACTTTGCGCCTTGCAGTTTCTACTGCGGCATGCACACTGTCGCATTCCATTTGGCTGTGCCCCGACTCCATGAACTTGTGGTCAATTGTTGAGAGAGGCAGCGAGCTCACAGCATGCAAGCACATAGTGCTGAAGGCTGCATTTCTGTTCTGTCCCCCACAAGTGTCTGAGTACAGAACAACATGTTTCACTTGAGGACTAAGTCCTTTAAGGTACATGTGAACACATGTGCTGATCTCAGAAGATCCACGGCCACCTTCCCCCTCATGCCACATGTAGCAGTCAACATCCTTACAGCCCATGTCATACACGGTGAGGTTGTATGTACTCAACTTTCGTGAGTAAAACAGGCTACTCACATTACTCCATGGAGTTGTCAAGACTTGCTCAAGGTCAAAGGTGACAGCCTTGCATGATTCATCTTCTTTTGCTCTGTTTTTATCAGTTTCTTTCTGTTCTCTTGCCTTGGTCTTTCTTAATTGGTGGGCATTGTATTCCTCACTGTGCTTTGTTTTTTCGTGGTCTTCTAGACGTTTATACCACTCGCAGTATTTGCATGCGTCTTTTTTAGGAGTATGGAAGGCCATGTTAAACTCCTTGTCAAACACTGACCTATACATACTAAGCTTTTCTGGTTGGATGTTCCACTCTCCACATTTCTCTTTATACAAGTCATACATTTTCATGAGATTTAGAGAACCTTCCAGATACAGCTTGCTTGTGTCTTTTCTGGAGTAGTGAGATTCAAGTGTGGGAAATGAGCGGATGTGTTCTCTGATCTTTTCTTTGCTGCTTTCTGGGATTTTGTTATGCGGTGCATGGTGTCCTTTCTTGCTTGGAGGGGTCATTCCCAAATCACTGTGTGTGAGGGCGCCTGCTGATCGTGCAAACTTCTCTGAAATATCAAGGGTCTTCAAAAAGAAATCCTTGCACTCAATCACTGAAATGAAGAGCAATCTCTGAAGCTTCATCTTCAACTTCATCACTATCCCTTATTATACTGATCAAAATCTTTTCTGCCTCAGTCAGTTCTTGCATGTCTGCAGTTCTGTCACCCATTTTAGCACTGGGCACCACTTGTGTTACGCCCTTTTGACTCTGAAATGCACTGCAGGGGCTGGTATTACTCAGAGCCACAAGGGCGTATATGTACATACGCCCTTGTGGCTCCAAACAGTACTCCACCTTTTTGGTAAGGTCTTTGTTGTTTTATTATTTTATTCAATACAGATTCATTTCTGATTTGTATCTTTGGCCCCACTAGATGGAGCTAATCAAGACCTTTCATTTGATATATAGAACTCATTTTTGACCAAAATGCCACTTACGCCCCTCTGGCTCCAAACCCTCGATATGATCCCTGACGTCTTTTCTCTAGAGGTGGTTTATCACTTGTTAGGAAAAAAATAATTATGCTAACCAGTATTTTTAACATAATGAAGTTTTTTTTTTTTTTTCTGGTGAATAATAAACAAAATATGCAACCTTTTCATTTTAATTTAATTTATTAATATTTGCAGTTTTAATAACTGCAACTGATTTTCAATATTACGTCCTTTATCGTGGAGCCCTGACAGCAAATAGGCTTCTTTAAGGGGCATTTCTGGAGAAATATCTAAACATGCAAAATACTGTTCAGTCCTTTGACTTTTTTTTTTTTTTTTTAACAAAGCACAGAGATAAATGTTGATCATTTTAAAACACTGATTCACAAAGTTGGGCTCGTGAGCCTACAGAAATTAAGCTAAAAGATAAAACATCATCTGTCTTCTGGAAAAAATAAACATGAATGCTGCTTAAAAATACAAACAGCAGTAGTAAATGGACAAAATTTACTTTTTTGGTTTTTGACGCTGTTTGTAATATTATTAAACTCATTGTTAAATGTTTGTGTATCCAACTAATAATTTGGGTCATAAGTCAATTCTTGTACAATTCTGTAGGTCAGAAGCTGAACAGTTAAAGAATCTCTAATTTACAGAATGTTTTATTTGCGTTCCTATTAAATAATAGTTGCACTAGATTTATGCAGTGTTTAAAGATCAGAATGTTCATGCAGTTGTGCTTCACAGCCAGAGTTTAGACATGACCTCTTCCTCACACATTCACACAAGCATCCAATGCATAATACATGAATATTAATCTTGTAATGTGGCCACACCTCTATAAAACCTTATTTATATTCATTTATCCCTCCTGATAAATACTGGATTATGAATGAGGCTTCAGTGTCAGTAAACAGTGCAGGTGCACCCTTCCCTGGTTTGGATAATACTCTCAATAAATAATTAATTGCGTTACCAGATAAAGAGGAGAAGTCTCATTACCAGAATAGGGAACATGTCACTCCACTGAAGTCTACTAGATGCATTGTAGAATGTGCTTTTCGTTGTTGAACACATTGCTTTAGGATTGAGTATCTGCAGCATCAGACATTCATGACATAAGAATATAACATAGAAACATGCCATCATCCTCACTGATGGAGAGATGATATACTGGATGTGCTGAAATTGCACTAAAAGCTTTTGCATTCATTTTGATTCACAAAAATAGACATTTATGTAGCACATGTTCCACAACTACTGGCATAACTTCTGAAAAAAGCCAAAATGATTAAATTACTCTCACCATATGTACTGATGGCAAAAGAAGACGTTTTAGAAGACTGATCTGGAGGCTTCTGATATTGACAAGTCATCTTGGACAGAGGCAGTGCGCTTCTTCTGTAGACGGGTTGCCTCAATAAACAGGAGAGCAAAGAAACCTGATGCCTGCTTGTGCATACCTCAGCATATAATTAAAACCTAGACAAGGTGTACACCAATAGATGTAAAAATAATTATGATTAATTTAAAAACACCATGCATCTTAATGATTTAATTATTTCTTTTTTTTTTCCTTTTTTTTATTATTGAGCATCAATGGTACATTAAATAATTTCCATTACAAGAGGCATTATATTCATATTTATATTTTAAACCCCCATCCCAATAGCAGTTTGGACACCAATCCAGCAGGAGCAGATAATTGAAGGTAATAAACAAACAAATTAAATATAAAGATATATATACACATATATACATACACCCATACATATACATATATATAAAATAGAGACAAAAAATAAAAATAAATAAATAAAAATAAAATAAAAAATAATCCGTTTTAGATACATATATACATCCAGATATGTACACACACACAAGCGTACATAACATAAAGAGCATTGATTTATGATTTCATTATTTCTAATGATGTTTGATAGTACCTAAACAGCTTCCTTTGGATAGCAGATGTTAGTACATTTGAAATTCATTCGGCATTAGTTTTACTACACAATGGGCCGGATTTATCAAGATCCAATTTTGCGTGCAGTAATTTGCGCTCGCAAACTGGAATTTTGCGCGAGGGGCTGAACCATGGTTTGCGGGTGATTTAACAAGACCGATTGCGTAACTGGTGGCAGGTGCAAAACTGTTGGAGACACCCTATTTAAATGATGGTTTTGCGCGTTTTGTGGTTTGCGGCATGGCGAGTTTGGACAGCAGAAGGCGCAAAAGGAAATTCGACCCCATGGAAATGGAGGTGTTGGTGGATGAAGCCAACAAACATTTAAGTGAGCTACAGCAAAGAAGTGTGCCTGTCACACAGAGGAACGCTATTTGTGAACAAATCTGTAATAAAGTAAACGCTGTTGGTGAAACCTTGCGAACAGTGGATGAAGTAAAAAGATACCAGGATATTAGAAGGCAAACCAAAGAAAAATTGGCATATAACAAAACATCTGCGAACAAAAGAGGAGGGGGCACAGTAGATGAGATGCCTCTGACCAGCATTGAGGAACAAGTACAGCTGACGCTCTGTGAGGAGCACATCACTGGAATTGCAGCTCCAAAATGGCAATGCTGGATAAATGTGGAAAAAATGCGTTCTCTGCGTCTCCTTGCTTCATTTCGATGTCTCCTTCTTGCGACAATAACCGCTGCCATGTGTGCGCAATTAAGCATACAGACCATTTGCACCTTCTTTTGAAACGTGTTAAATATAGGGCCGGATTTATCAAAGGTTTGCGTGTATTAAAACGTGAGCTATTTCACTGCGCACGCAAAAAAATGTACAAACTGATCTATCAACAGCGTGCTAAAAGGATTTGGCCTTTAAAACGTGCTAAATAGCGTCTCTTATCCATTTAGTACTTTTTCTGCAATGAATATTCAATATAGGGCGTTTACACGCAAAAGTGCGTCTTGTGGGAGGATAACATGTAAATATATTAATTTAGCACTCGCAAAGTGATTTATCAAACCTGAAAGCAATTTTGCTAATGGTATCTGACTCTATATTTAACACGTTTCAAAAGAAGGTGCAAATGGTCTGTATGCGTAATTGCGCACACATGGCAGCGGTTATTGTCGCAAGAAGGAGAAATCGAAATGAAGCAAGGAGACGCAGAGAACGCATTTTTTCACTCCGTGTGAATATTTTTGCAATGAAGGAAGAAAGGATCATCAAAACATATCGTTTATCCAGCATTGCCATTTTGGAGCTGTTGGGGGAACTCCAATAGTCTATTATTTTCTTCTTTTAATAGACTATCTCAAACAACTTGAAACAACTTGAAAAAGACAAGGTAATTAACAGCACAGCCTATTTCAGATTATATCCAGGGGAGGAAATTCCATGCTTATATGGACTTCCAAAAATTCACAAAGAAGGGGCACCACTCAGGCCCATCGTCAGCAGCATTAACTCAGTAACATACAACATTGCTAAACAGCTTACTAATATCTTAGCTCCCTTGATGGGGAACACACCACATCACATAGAAAACTCCAAAGACTTTGCCAACAAAGCCAAACATTTAAGGATGGCTCCAGGAGAAACCCTGGTATCGTTTGATGTTACTTCACTTTTCACATGCATACCTATAACAGAGGCAGTGGAAACAGTCAGGACACGTCTTGAACAAGATAGTGATTTAAACAACAGGACTAATTTCACTCCGGACCTGATCTGCACACTACTGGGCATTTGTCTTTCCACAACCTATTTCAAATTCAGAGGTAATTTTTACAGACAGAAGCATGGCTGCGCAATGGGATCTCCAGTATCACCAATTGTAGCCAACCTTTACATGGAAGAAATGGAAAAGAGAGCTTTAGACACTTTCAATGGAATACCACCAAGCCACTGGTTTAGATACGTGGATGACACTTTCGTCAAAATCCAGCTAGAGGAAGTGGAAGCTTTCACCAAACACATCAACTCTGTTGACCGTAACATCAAATTCACCAGAGAGGATGCCAAGGACAACAAACTACCCTTTCTGGACTGTCTGGTGAGCATGGAAGGGGATGGAAGCCTAAACATTGAAGTGTATAGGAAACCTACTCACACAGACCAGTATCTTCTTTTTGACTCACACCACCCACTGGAACACAAACTCTCAGTCATCAGGACCTTACAACACCGGGCAGAACATGTCCCTACTAAAACAGATGGGAAGCAAAAAGAACAGAAACACATCAAAGATGCTCTCCGAAACTGTGGATATCCAAACTGGGCTTTTATCAAATCAGCAAGGAAATCCAAAAGACACGCAACAGAAGACAGCGATGGGAAAATTAAACGCAAAAACATCACAATCCCTTATGTTGCTGGAGTGTCTGAAAAGCTCAAGAGGATTTTCTCCAAACACAAGATCCCAGTACATTTCAAGCCAAACCAAACCCTTAAACAGAGGCTAGTGCATCCTAAAGATAAAACCCCCAGACCGAATATGAGCGGAGTGGTATATGCTGTTCAGTGCAGCGAGGAATGCTCTGATCTTTATATTGGCGAAACAAAACAACCTCTCCACAGACGCATGGCCCAACACAGAAGAGCGGCCGCCTCTGGACAAGACTCCGCAGTACACCTACACCTTGTGGACAAAGGACATTCTTTTGAGGACCAGAATGTCCATATTCTGGATAAAGAAAATAGGTGGTTTGAGAGGGGCGTGAAGGAAGCCATCTATGTTAAGAGAGAAAAACCAACTTTAAACAGAGGTGGTGGACTCAGATTCCAGCTTCCAAAAACATACAATTCAATCATAGACATGATCCCTTCCAGATATCACCAAACCCGCCACCCCATCACAGAGGAACAAGGGGCCTACCCGCCCCAGCCGGTGAACAATACCTCCTTAACGACCAACCCTTAACAATCATAGACAGGTTTCAGGTATTACAGGAGACAATCCCCCCCCTTAATGGCAATCCCCCTTTTAACGACCGACCCCTAGAATCATAGACAGGTTCAGATATTACAGGCTAACGATGGAACTAACGACCCATTCATCGGTTACCATTGCTTGTTTCCAAGCGATACAAGGCGTTGTCTATATAAGACTCAAACTCACTGCGGATCCAGACATTTGAATTGAGAAAGCTTCCTGGAGAGGTGGCGAAACGTCTTCAAATCTTGAAAACCAAGTCCAGTGGATATTTTTTGAATTTTTACGGAATGACTTTGACCTGGATGACTGAGAACCTTCATCAGCATAAATGGATAAGAGGCGCTATTTAGCACGTTTTAAAGACCAAATCCTTTTAGCAAGCTGTTGATAGATCAGTTTGTACATTTTTTAGCGTGCGCAGTGAAATAGCTCACGTTTTTATACACGCAAACCTTTGATAGATCCGGCCCAATGTAAAGAAAGAAAACATAAAATACATTTACATCAGAAACAGTGCCACAATCTAAAATTCTAATTTGATCAAAAAAACTAATCAGACTATCAAATTAGTAGCAAAAGTAACAACAATTAGATATAAAGCAAGCTTCCCAATGCTTTTGCAAAAGGATCTCTGAATAAATAAATGAAAAGGAAAATGTCTTAGGATTTTGGAAACTATATGACAAGTAGGGAGTTTATACAAAACAAAGGGCTTACATAAATCGTATTATACTCCTGTGGGATCACACAAAATAAAACTGACAAAAAAAATGAGTGATGGAGATATGAACTGGAACAAGGCACCTTTTTACATTATTTATGGGATTGCAAAATCATTAATCTGTTTTGAGCTAGAGTAGTATAGTAGATAAGAAAATAATCCCTCTGACTCCAGCTGTATGTTTGATGGGGGGCAGATCCCAACACTGAAGGTGCTTAAAAGAATGCTTTTTGTTATAATGATTTGTCTACTTTCTGCTTCCTTGATTATTTTGAAACACTGGAGACAAATCAGATCTGAATTTGAAAGAGAGGACAGATGCTCTGGTGGAGACAGCATTATATAAATCTATTTTGCACAGATTCAAGGACTGTAAGGGAGAGGAGGATGGTCAGACCCCATGGGACCTTCTCTGGGCCAGCATTGGATAGTATTTCTTACAGCAAAACAGATTTCCTATGGATCATAGGATCTTTGACTATTGCGGACTAAATTTCCATTTATCCTCCTTATCTCAGTTTTTGACTCCTATGGCTTTTTTAATATTGTACAACAAATTCTGATGATTATTTCAAATAGCCTGTACCAAAAGAAAAATATATATATATTTTTTTATTTCTTTAAATAACATTCTTAAATGAAAACCTAATGAAAATGACAAATTATAAATATAAAGTTTTGTTAATATAGCTTTTGTTTCCAAATGTAATAATTGACAAAAAAAAAAATTGTGAAAGCAAAAGTTTTTCCACGAGATGAATTTGAGCAACAAATTAGGGCTT